AAACTTTTTATTCTTCGGGTTGTTATACCTTATTATAAAATTTTATTAAACACTTAAAACACAAGCCGCCATTTTTTTTCTTTCTCTTTCTTTCGATTCATTTTCTTTCTTTTTTTTTTTTTTTATTATTTACTTTTTTTTTTAAATTGACTTTTTCTTTCTTTTTTCTTTTTTTATTCATCGTTATAAAAAAAAAAAATATTTCATTTTTTAAACAAACCTAAAGTAATTAAAATTTATATAAAAAAAAAAAAAAGAAAAAGGTTTTCATTTACAATTAGAAAAATTCATTCACTTTTTCCCTCTGTCTCTCTCTCTCTCTCCCTTTCTCCCCCTTTTTTCTATCTCAAAAACGTCCCGTGGGATTTAAAAAAAGAATTTTTTTTTTTTTTTTTAATGTTTCAAATAATCAGGCATTAATTAATAATTATTTAATTTTTTTTTTTAAAATTTAGGTCACTAGGACGTTTTTATCATAAACACCCAACAACCATAACAACCGCAAAAAAACCCGAAATTTATTAAAATTTTATTATTATTATTATTATTATTATTATTAATAAATATGAAAATTAAAAATTGTACCTAATAAATAATAATTAATAAAAAATTTTAAAATATAAATAAGAGTTCAAAGACATCAAATTTTGATACTTTTTTTTTTTAATTTATGTTAATAATAATAATAATAATGATAATGATAATGATAATAACAATAATAATAATAATAATAATAATAATAATAATAATAATAATAATAATAATAATAATAATAATGATATTGATAATAATGATAATTTTTATAAAAGTTACGATTTAGTTATGAATATAAACAAAAAAAAAACAAAAAAAACTGGTAGCAGTAAATGTAAAAATGATAATGATAATAATGATAAAGGATTTATTAGCCTATGCATTTTTTTTTATAATAATAATTTTTAACGACAATGATAATGATAATAATAATGATAACGATAATAATAATATTAGATGGGGAATGGAATCGAATTGTAAGACTGAAATCTATACTAAAGTTATTATACTCGTACTCGCACTCGTCGTGTTTTTATTATTATTATTATTATTATTATTAATATTAATACTATGTATATATATATATATATATATATATATATATTTTTATAAAAGTGAAGAAAGGAAAACCTGATTTAAATAAAATCGTGCGGGGTTCGATGGAGGTTTCGTCTGATACGGGTTTTACACAACAACAACCAACAACAACCAAAAAAAAAAAGAAAAACCGAATAAATAAATCATTTCACGTCAGAAATTTAAAAAAAAAAAAGGAAAAGATTAAAAAAAAAAAAAAAGAAACCAGGTACGAATGTTGCGCTTATTAAAAAGATGCTGCACGTTTTTTTTTTCGGGGGAGGTGGCAGGGCGGAAGAGGGGAGGGCGAGGGAGAGGAGGCGGAGACGGGGAGAGAGAATTCTTTCACATTGTGCATTAAAAATTTTTTTTTTTTTATTAATTTTATAATTTTTTTTTTTTTTGTATTATGCGTATGCTCGAGTGTATGTGTGTGTGTGTGCGTGTGGGTGGAAGTGGGGGGTATTTTTTGGGGGTATCTGTTTAAATTAAAAAAAAAAATTATGATAATAATGATGACGATAACATTTTGTAAATTTTTGATGAATTTAAATTTTCGATATATATATACCCGAAAGGGATACACGAAGAGATGAAAAAAGGGAAAAGGATAAAAATTTCAACGGGGGGAGGTAGAAATCCGGGATAGAAAATTTTGGGGGAAGGAAAAGAGAAGAGATGGAGGGAAGTGGGGGGTTAAAAAAAAATTTTTTTTTTAATTTCTTTTTTTTTCGCGTGTGAGATCGATCGATTTTGTTTTCTTTTTGTTTTTTTTTTATTAGTTTTTTTTTGTTTTAAACTTAATTTTTATAATTTTACGTATATTTTAAGTTCCTGAGAAAGATTTCAATTATTATTATTATTATTATTATTATAATTATAATTATTATTATTATTATATTTTAATTAATTTGTGAGCATTTAAAAAAAATTTTTATTTATTTATTTATTGTTATTTTAGCTATTATTATTTATTTTTTTAATTTTTTTCTTCAATATCAATTTTTTTTTTTTTAATTACAAATTAATAAATAAATTATTTATGTATGTATTTATGTACGTATGTATTTATGTATTTATATATATGTTTATTTAAATAAATTTTTTTTTTAATGACAAAAAGTCGTTACGTATACACATAATTTTTATTTTTTTTTTGTTTATTTGGTGCGCGTGTATTAAAAAAAAAAAACTTTTTCCCAACGATTTCCTCCATTTTGTTTACTATTTATTTACACGTATACATTAATTATTTAAAAAAAAAAGGGAACGGATTCGTATTATTATTATTATTATTATTATCAATCATTCGTCTAAACGTCGATTTAAACCGCCATTTTGTTTTTTCAAAAAAAAAAAAAAAATACGTAATTTTATGCGTTTGTAAATATAATAAGACGTTTTTGCCCTGCATGCGAAAGGTTTTCTTTTTTTTTTGCTTTACTTTTTTCTAATTTTTTTTTCCCTCCTTTTTTCCTTTTTTCCTTTTTTTTTTTTTTTTTTACTTTTGATTCTTTGACAAAGATAAATATTTTCTTTTGCTTGTGAATTTTTTCTTTCCTTTTCCATTTTATTTTTTATTTTATTTTATGAAAAATTAAACTTCGGTACGAAACAAAAAAAAAAATGAGTTTTTGTTAAAACGAATGAAACAAAATCAGAAGGAAAAAAAAAAAATTGTAGGAGGTTTTCTTTGGAGGGGCGAGGGGAGCGATGGGGAGGGGGGGGAACGAAGGGTAAGGAAAGAAAAAAGAAATTGATTTTCCCAAGACGATATCCTAAAGAAAAACTGATGCGAATTTTCTTTTTTTTTTTGATTTTTAATTTGTTTCCGCGATGATGTTGGGAAAACTTTTTTTTTCAACTTAAAACTTTGCGACAATTTTTTTTTTGTCGACAAAAGATTTCGTAACAATTATTATTATTATTATTATTATTAAAACTGGAGAAATTTTTTTCTTTTGAAAAAAGGAAAAAAAAAAAAACAAAATTTTTGCAGCCGGCTTTTTACCAAAAAAAAGGTTTTTTTTTTTTTTTTTTTTTTTTAAAAAGGACGCTCCAATTATTTTTAGTCTTTTAAAATTTAAATTTAATTCATTTCTTTCTTTCTTTCCTTTTCTTTTTTTTGTTAAATTGGCATAAAGAAAATTTTTTTTTTAAAAAAAGGCGGTACGTTCCTGATAATTTCAGGTATCGGATCCAAAAAGAAAAAAAAACCTTTCGCAATATAAGAAACAAAAATTATTTAAAAAAAAAAAAATTTTTTTTTGGGGGTTTTTACGACGCGAGATTTAAAATTTTTACTTCATCAGTTTTTCTTATCGGAAAATTCATTTTAACGAATAATAAAAACTGAATGTTTCTGGAGAGAAAAACGGAGAAAATTTTTTTCTTCTCCAGCAAGAAAAAAGAAAAAAAAAAATAATAAAGCAGCCTTACCTTTCGAACGTTTTTCTTTTCTTTTCTTTTTTTCTATGAATATGTATATATATCTTCGTTATCATTACTTTTGTTGTTATCTCTATCTATCTATCTATCCTAATCATTTTATCCAGGTATCCAAAATCTCCAGTCACCGGTTTATGACTTGGACAATAAAAAAAAAAAAAAAAAAAAAAAAAAAAAAACAAACTTTTAAAACATTTTCCATTTTTGATATTTAAACTTATCCAAATATTAAAATGGCGTTATGACACACTATTGCACTGCAACACCAATAAAATTAATTGCACATAACACTGGAATTATTATTATTATTTTATACAAAAATAAAATGAAATTAAGGAGAGATAAAGAATAAAGAGAGAGAGAGAAAGAGAAAAAAGAAAGAAAAAGAGAGAGAGAACTTTTCAATTAAAATTTAGTTTAAAAAAAAAAAAATTTTTTTTTCTTTTACTTTCTTTCCCTAATTTTCCTTTTTTTTCCTTTTTCTTTCTTTTTTTTTTTTTAAAAGGGCACACACAATTACCCACATTTAAAAAAAAAATTATCATTAATAATATAATAATAATAATAATAATAATAATAATAATAATTAATCGAATAGTTTTGACTAAAAATTTAAAATTTAAAAAAAAAAAAAAATTTGAGGAACACTGGATAAATTTTTAAAGAGCCCCTTGGGGAGACGTTTGAGGGCTTATTTCGGAGTCCCCATCTCCCGAACCGGGTTCTCCTTTCGATTTATTTTCTTTCTTCCATTTCATCCGCCGATTTTGGAACCATATTTTGATTTGTCTTTCCGTCAGACATAAAGCGTGGGCAATTTCGATTCTTCTTCTCCTCGTCAGATACCTGTTGAAGTGAAATTCTTTTTCCAATTCGAGCGTTTGATACCTTGTGTACGTCTGTCGTCCTCTTTTTCTTTCTGCGAATAAATTTAATAAAAGAAAATTATTATTATTATCATCATCGTCATCATCACGGGTAATAATAATATGCGATTCCCGCACCGGAGGCGATATCTATCGCATCCATTCGAATAAAAATTAAAAAAAAAAAAAAATAATTGACTTTACGCACACACACCCATCGTAAAAACAAACGATTTGATTAACGCCATGCATTTGTATCTCTCTCTCTCACTCTCTTTCTCTCATCTTATTTTATTTTTTTCCATTATCATCGTCATTCGAAAACAAAACATTAAAAAAATTAAAATTTGATTCGCTTTGTGATTAATAAAAAAAAAAAAAAAACTCGAAAGAAAATTTTTTTTTTTTTTTTGTAACCGATTTGTCACTATCAAAATTTGACATAATGAAATTAGCTTCCTGTTGTGTTTTTTTTTTTTTTTTTTCAAATCTATTGTTATACTAAAAATATCAACGAAAAAAAAAATTTAATAACTCGAATCATTTATATTGTTTCTTATTTAATAATAATAATAATAATAATAATAATAATAATAATAATAATAAACAACGATTTCTGATTAGATCCCTGGTATGTATAAATAAAAAAAAAAAAAAACATTTTAATAACGCAACGTGTTACGACGTTAAATTTAAATTTAAAAAAAAACCGTTTTAATAAGGAGCGATTATTATTATTATTATTATTATTATTATTATTATTATCATTATCATTATTATTATTAAAATATTTTAAATTAAGTAATAATAACAACCCGAAAAAGGAAGTAAAGTGTGCGTGACGGAAAGTACAAAAAATGAAAAAAAAAGTAACAAAATATTTTTTTTTATACGTTATAAAAAAATTTTTTTTTCTTTTTTCCGCCATTTTGTTTGCGTTAACAAAATATAAGTAACGAATTATATTATTATTATTTTAATTCATTATACCGTAAATATACCCTAAGTATAAAAAAAATACGTCGAGGGTAACAAATCAGAAATGATTTTATTAATCAATCGACGAAAAAAAAAAATTTAAGAATGAGGTTCGAAGCAGGTGTTAAAAATAAAAACAAAAAAAACATCACCGGGGTATTATTATTATTATTATTATTATCATTATCATCATCATCATCATCAGGTACAAAATAAAGTTTTCTTTATGTTAAAATAAACACGTTCGAAAAACAAAAAACAAAATTTAATCAAATTGTCAAAAAAAAAAAAAATGAAATTTCCACGTTAACGCAGGAAAAAAATTATACGTTAATTTTTGTTGGTTGTTGTTGTTGTTGTTGTTAAAGGTAACTAACCAAACAACATAAAAAAGGTTTTTTTTCGAATATTATATGAAAAAAAAAAAATTAAAATAAATATGGCGGATAATTTTTTACATCAAAAAGAAAAGAAAAGGATGGGAGTAGATTGACGGTTAATTAATTACTAATATCAAAAAAAAAATTGAATATGTTGTGTTCGCAGTTGTTGGAAAAATGAAATTTATTTATTGTTTTTACAAAAGTCATGGAATTAACGGTTTTATCTATTATTATTATTATTATTATTATTATTATTATTATTATTATTATTATTATTATTATTATTATTATTATTTAAAAATGTCGCGTGCGTTTTAATAAAAATCAAAGGGTTTTCGGTATTGGTAAAAAATTCAGCAGCATCCCATGGAAAATGGGAAAATCCTTTTTTTTTTGTTCATAAAATGTTTCTTCTATTCTTTCTATTCTTTTTCATCTCTCTTTTATTCGTCGTCATATTTTCATTCTCTCTCTCTCTCTCTCTTTCCTTTTAAAAAAAATTTTTCTCTCTCATTTTATTCGGTTTCAATTTGACGTTCGTAAAGTCGTTTTCTTTCTCTCTCTCATTTTATTCGCTTTTGGTTTGAAATTCGTAACGTTCTCCTATCTCTTTCTCTCATTTTATTTGCTTTTGGTTTGAAATTCGTAACGTTCTCCTATCTCTCTCTCTCTCTTTTTCCTTTCTATTTTCTCTCATATGAAATGAAGAAGAATTTCACGGTGAAACTAAAACGGAAGCTTCTTTAACTAGAATTGTCACGGATGTCATATCGTCTGACAAATGCTGCAACCGTTCACTTCAGCTTTTGTCTTTCTTTCCGTTTTACCCTCCTCCCTCTCTTTCTATCCTTTTTCTTTTCCTTTTTCACGTCATTTTCCATTTATTATTTTTTTTTTAATCATCTTTCATTTTCAAGTTTTCATTTTTAAAATTAAAAAAAAAAAGGGTAAAAATCGATTTTTTTTTTTTTTAAAGGTGATGAGATCATTTTGCATAACGAAAAATAAAAATGTCGTCGATTCTGGTAAAAATTATTTTAATTATAGATGTTTGCATAAAACATATTTTTTTTTTTTAACAATAGATTTTAGTCATGCTACTACAAAATATATAAGTTTTCTTTGCAAAAAAATTTATTATTATTATTATTATTATTAAACGTTTTTGTTTCTTCTTTATTTAGTGTTTGGCACCAACTGGTAGTGTCACTCTCTCACATTGTTTACAAAGTCATCGAATATTATTATTATTCGGTCGTATTTATAATTTATAATTTTTTTTTTTCGTCTTTATTCCTTTCTTATCAGGAATCGTATCACACCCCAAATACATAGATGATATAAACAATTTTTTTGTGATAACGACAAAAAAAGAAAAAAACACGAATGCACGTGTCAAACTGATAGAAAATGATCGATATATTATTATTTATCGAAAGTTATTTTTATTTTGTAATGGGTTACCGTTAATAAATAATAATAATAATAATAATGTCTTTATTACGGCCCTGAATATAATTTTTATATCCTGTTATCGGCCTACATCCCAGTTAGAAAAAAAAAATGTGTTTTATTTTTTTGTTTTATTCCGTCTGGAAAGAAAAAAAAAAAAAAGCGCGCCACATACTTTTGAAAATAATTCTGGTTTTTGTTTAGCTTGAAAGAGATCCTTTTTCGATGTGAGAGAACGAAAGAGAGAGAGAGAGAGAGATAGAGAAAAAAATTATATGAAAAACTTTTACACGATTTATTTATTGCAGAAAACGTTAAGCAATTTAAAAGTAATTTAAAAAAAAAATATTTTAATTTAAAAAAAAAATTTTTTTTTTTTTTTTAATCGATTCGTAACGTAAAATGAACGTAACGCGTTGAAAGAAATAAATTAACGGAATAAGTCTTTATATGTTACGTTGATATTAATAAGAACTTTCCACCCAAAAAATGATGGATTACATTTTGCCCCATGAACCTGCCCTGGTTCTTCACTTTCCCTCTTCCACCACTACCACCACCATCTTCTTTTTGTTGTCTTGTCCTTCCTTCCCTTTACTCGGGAGAGAGATAGAGAGAGAAAAAAAACCTCCATTTAGGTATCTGGTCCGCCATGAACTTGTCCATCACGAGCTTCGAATCTCATTCCACACGGTCTATTCATCTTCTTTTTCTTCTTCCTTTCAGAAAGAAGAGGAGAGAGAAAGAGGGAGGAAGGGGGGGGAATAATCACGATAATGATATTATTTAAAGCGCGAATTTAATACTTTTAACCACCGAACAATGTTTTCAATAATAATAATAATAATAATGATTTAATGGTAATCAAATGAATGAATTATTAATGTAATTAATTTAAATGCATTAAAATTAAACGAGGTTTAAAAAAAAACCTGATTTTTTTTTTTTACCGTGAACGCATCATTAATTGATTCTTTAACAGTTTTTTTTTTTTTTTATGATTTTTGTGCGTTGGAAAACGCGTGCGTTTCATTAAATTTTAATACGCAATGCGTATATTATTATTACTCGTAAAATGTAGAAAAAAAAAATCAAGTTTCTCACGTTATGATGCCGCCGAATCTCCCCGTTTAAAAAATTTGAATCGACCTAATCTAACCTAAAAAAAAAAAAAAGGTTTTCCTTTGTGAAGAGAGTAAAAAGCCAACAACAACATCTGTCGTACCGAAAAAATTCCCCCCATTTTGAAAAGTTTTTTTTTTTTTTTTTTTTAATTTCAAGCTTATTATTTACAAACAACGAACGAATAAAATAAAATAAAAAAAAATCGGTTTTTAACAAACCAAATTTTTTTTTTTTAAACTTCCTTACCATCGTCTCCTCACCTCGCCCCCCCAAAAAAAATTTTTTTTTCTTCTGACACGTTACGTAATACATGTTTCATATGATAAATGCACCTGGTTTATCATTTCCTTTACGCGACCAATGACTTTTTTTTTTTTTTGAATGCAAAAAACGTTTCATTTTTTACCAAAGTGAAAATATTATTATTATCACGATGGTAAGCGATGGTAATAAAACGATTTGATTTTCATTTTCAATAATAATAATAATAATAAAAGGAAATTGTTCTTTGTTAGATGAGTGGAAGGACACAAAGAAGGTTAATACCGATTTTTTTTAAAAGTAATTATTATTAATTACACTATATTGACCGCTAATTCGTAGTTTGCGTGAATTTTTTTTTTTATTTTATTTTCTAGAGAAAGAAAGAAAGAAAAAAGAGAGAGAGAGAGTGAGAACGAGTATAAGAGAAAGAATGAGAGAGAAAGAAAAAGAAGAAAAGAAACACATCTTGCATGCTCTGCTTCTAATTAATAATACATTAAGAAAATAACCTTAATTCTATTTAAAAAATAATAATAATAATAATAATAATAATAATAATAATAATAATAAAACATTAGCGTATCACTTATTCTTTTTTTTTAGGCATTATTATTATTATTTTCATTTTTTTTACTTATTCAGTTTTCGATAAGGAAAAAATCACCCAAACGGTTAAGGTTAACGTCTCGCGTCAAATTTTCCAAAAAAAATAACACGTAGTGACGTAATAATGACGTCACAAAATTAAAAATTTTAACGAATTCATAACATCGTAATAATGATGATAATAATAATAATAATCGCGCGTATTTTTTTCACGCACACAAAAAAAAAAAACGCATTAAAAGTTTTTTTTATTTTTATTTTTTTTTTCGATCCCACGCCCCAAAGTGCAACCCTTTTCCCCCCACATGCTTTTGCACCCTTACGTTTAAGTTCGAAAAGTTTTTTTTTTTTTTGAAGGAGGGAGAAAGAGAGAGAGAGAGAAACGTTCAACTTTTGAAATGAAGTTTCGATGTTTTTTTGTTTGTTTTTTGTTTGTTTTGTTTCGTAGCGAAAGTTTTTCAAAAAGGATTTAGAAAATGGAAAATGCAATTTTCAATTTGATTCCCCGACATTTTTTTCTCTTTTTTTTTCGTTTCGAAAAAGACGAAAACCATTTTGAAAAATTTTTTTTTTTTCCCCCTACGAACCGTCCGCCATCTTTGTTTCCTTTCTTCTTTGAATGATTTCGTTTATTTATTTATTTTTTACCGTGGTTTTAAAATGTGACAATTTTTTTTTTTTGACTACGTAAATTTTATAGTTTGTGGAAAATATGGCAGTTATTTGGTGCAACTTCCGCCGCCTTTCCTATCGCCGTTCTAACGTTATTAAAATATTTATAGTTTGTCGCCGAGGCGTTCGGAATAATTTTTCTTTTGATAACGTTATCGTTGTAAAAATTTACAATCGAACGCGTTTAAAATAAAAAAAAAAGGAAGAAACGGAGCGTCGATTATTTCCGTCCGCGGGTTTTATGCGTGCGTGTGCGTGTGCGTGTGCGTGCGGATGAACTCAAAAAAAAAAATTTTTTTTTTTAGGTGGCTCCAAGACGATAACATTAAATGAAAAATCCGAGAATTAAAAAAAAAAAAAAAAAGAAACATGGCAGGTCTTTTCGAAGTAGAACCAATTAAAAACACATTTTAGTTATATTTTTTTTCTCTCTCTCTCATTTTTTTCTTCTTTCTCTCTCTCTCTCTTTTTTTACTCTCACGGTATATAGCTAGCCTGTAATTTGGTGGTTGCGTTTCTTTCTCATGTTTAATACTTTTCGATTAAATGAAAAAAAAAAAATGCGATTACCTCACGCAAACTGTGATCTTGGTTTCTTTTTATTTTTTTTCTGATCGTTTTTTTTTCTCTTTTAATCCGACCGATTGATTGATAAAAAGCCATGCAAGTGTCGAACACACCTTTCCCTTTTTCCCCGCTCCCCAACCACCTTCCCCTACGTTTTTATTTATTTATTTAGAGAAACGAATAACCGGATATTTTATATCACGAGTGCGATTGACTCATTCATCGACTATATCATCGAAAATAAATTGATGGTTTTTTTCTGCTACCGTTTCCTTTGAAAACTTTTCTTTTCATGTGCATTCGTGATGATAATGATAATATTACAAAACATGTGTGCACGTGCATTAATTTCACAAAAACATTTCATTTTAATTTCGCAAAACGTAACGTCTCGCCGTCGTTCGCAATTAAAAAAAAAAAAAAAAAATTAATTGCAAGTGCAATAATCAATATTTAATAAGATTTCATTTCCGGTTTGCAATAATAATAATAATAATAATAATAATAATAATAATAATAAAAACATTAATTAAAATTAAATTAAATTGACTTTCGTCCTAGAAAAAAAAAAAATTAAATATGGCCGACAACGACGACTACGGAGTACGACGACGACGACGTTAAATAATAATATAATTTTGTTATTATTATTATTATTATTGAATTTTTGGAAAAGCGAACAAAAGGAAAAATGTAATCATTTTGATTTTTGTTTTTGTTTTTTTTTTTTTTTTGTTTTTCAAAAGGAAACCAGACAGTTGAAAAGGAAAGAAAGAAAGAAAGAAAGAAAAAAAAAGAGAAAATCCAATATGAAAGGCTATTTTTCTTTTTCAATTCACTTACTCGGGAATCGAGATAATTGATAATCCAAAATGTTTTTTTTATTTTTTCCCTCTCTTTTTTTTGTTTTCTCTCTCTCTTTTTTTTTTATTTTTCTATCTATCTATCTATCTATTACTCCATCTTTTACTCTTCTTTTTTTTTTCATCATCACCCAAGTTGCACACAAGTTTTTATTTTTTTCCCTCCCTAAACGAAAAATTTCAAAAAAAAAAAAAAAAAACCGTTCGTCGTCTCCTTATTCTTATTCTTTTCATCTCTCTCTCTCTTTCTTTCTTCTTTACCCAAAAAAAAAAAAATAAAAGAAATCTGCCATTTTGTTGTAGCAAGATGAAATGAAGAAAATGATTGATGATGGTAAAGAGCATGACGAGGGCACAAAAACTATGTTCATCATTAATCAAACGTCAGACACTGGAAGCAACCATTCCTCATCGTGATGTTGCGGCGCTTCAAACAACCGCCATCTTATTTTCCTTTGATTGGATTTTAATTAACGTCAAATCTTTTTTTTTTCTTTTTTTTTCATTCGTTTCACTTTTTTTTTTTTTTTATGTCTTCTGGTTAGAACTTTAATCATGGCTAACGT